TGGCGCATCCCGTACCAAGATCCCCAGGGATTTCGCCGACATCGTGGTGAGAAGGATGACGAGGCACCGGTCAGGTGCATCACACTGAGGAGGAAGAAGTCATTCTCCTGTCAAAACCAACCTGCCGAAATCATAACTGTCATGCAGGGAACTGGCTCTCCCCGTGCCCGTCCAGCTTCCCCGGCAGCATTCCTCCCGCAATAACTCACCCAGGGTGGGTCTGGACGCGGGCCAGGCAGCGAGCCAAGCGCTAGCCCCCGTAGCATGGCGGGCAACGAAGAAAACCACGGCAGCAAGGAACTCAACAAGTGCTGAGTTAAGGAAGCCGAGCTTCCTCCACACCTGTGTCCTGTGGTGGAAGCGTTTTCTTAGTTCTTTTTCTAGTGTCAGAGTTGCAGCTATTTATTCCCGGGGACCGGTGACCAGGGGTTTCTCTAGCATGTACGTGCCGTTGGTCCAGCACACACCGTGGGGGCGATGGGGAGGCCTGCGACGCACATGCCCCTTAATAAAATGCTCTCAACAGCCCCATTTTTGGGAGAGGACTGGCTAAGCAAATGGATCCCACGCTGCCACGGCCACATCTGTAAGACCCGTGCATTCAGCTGATATTTTTCAGCTTGTGAGCTGATCCCATCGCTTTAAAAAAAGTTGAGACAAAGGAAACCGGGTGTTGGTTGAAAGCAGTAACTCTGTCCACAGCAAGAAACCGTTTCCCAGAGTTCAGGGCCCCTCTAGGCTCCCAAACAAAGGGTCTGATGCCCAAGGCCAGTGAGCCCTTTACTCCCCTCCTGTGCCACAGCAATTGCTTCACCTCAGTTCTTCCTAAAGGTGGGTTTAGCAAGGTAGAGCTGGGGCAAGACGAGCTGTTTTCTGGCCACGTAACCCCAGGGAACACGGTGGCACAGTGTGGGGTACCCTGCAGGGGACTCTGCTCCTCAGCCCCGACCGTTTCGGGGACCTGGGGAGAGAGAGAGAGGACGTTTTGCCCTCTCCCTCCCATCTCACGGCACCTTTCCTCTCTGCAGACGTCGGGGCAGGGGTGAAGCTGGAGGAAAACAACCCGCGAGCCAGTGTGGAGCCGTGGAGGAGAGCCCCGGGCTGCACAAAAGGCACCTTGTTCCCCCCACGAGGCAGCCTGGCGGCGCGTCCCCTCCCTCACCGGCGATGGAAAACCCAGCTCCGCGCACTCCTTCGCCACCCCTTGGGTACGAAATAAGTCTCGGGCGGAAGAAACGTGAAGTTTAACACGTCCCACCTGGGCAGGACGGCTTTTGGTCCCCTCGCAGCGGGAGCAGAAGGCCCCAGGTGCCCCCAGCGCCTCGGGGGGACGCAGCCGGTTTGCCGGGGCCACCAGCTCTTGGTTATAGAGTAACCTGTTGCTCCGGGTTCCAGCTCCACCTCTCGCTGCCTCCACATCCCTCCCCTCCTCTCT